TTTTTTTTTTTTTTTTTTTTTCTATCAGTACCCTCTGGAGAAATGAGAAATGTTTTCTTGCTTATTTTCATAATTCACACTATTTCTATTATCATAGGTTCTTCTACCTCCTCGTCCACCACGACCATCAATCTTTTGGAGAACCGCTTTAAATTTTTCTCCAAGAGGAGTAACATCGAGTTTAAACTCATGAAATTGAAGATAATTCATCAAGCTATTAACGACAAATGTAGATAAGACTTTTAATTCTTCAATTGCAATAACATTATGCTCAAACTTTTTTTTTTGGCATACTTCTAATCTTTGCAACAACTCTTTGATAGTCAGTTTCTTCTCCATCGATCAAAAATTGTTGACATTGCAAGAATACAATTAAAAAAATCTTTTACACTTTCCTTTGAATACTCTAATGACTATAATTTTTCTCATTAAATTTAAGAAGTTGAGGTTGCAACATGCCAGTTGGTATTAGAATTTGAACTGTGATAATTTTGTTAAAAAAAAAGTTGTGAATTTTCTTGTAGTATAATAATATGTAAATTCAATTCTTCATATTTAGATTAGGTTAGAAATAACGATTCTCCACAATTATATGATATTATTCAGTGCGTCATGGTGCAACCCAACTTCTTAAATTTAGTTAGAAGAATTATAATGGATGAACTATTCAAATGAAAGTGTTATATGACTCTAAGATTTGTGAAAAATTGTCAAAATCGATTGTATGTTTGCATTTACTAGCTCTTTATTCTACCACTGTTCAAATAAGACAATGTCACAATATTATTAGTCGAGATTTGTTTATGGAGCGTTACCGTGCTTCAATGATGGTGATCAATCTCTTTTGCCAATTTGTCAGCTTCTGAATATCTTAATAAATCTATTTGACTGCAAAATTATTTGTAAGATGCTCGTATTGAATTCTCAAAATTTTAAAAATATTTATCCGAGCTTAAATAAATACATCTAGGGTTGTATTCAGTTTGAATTCAATTTGGAAAGAGAACCTGGAAATAAAAACAAAATGTATGAAATGATTTGAATGATTTGAATATCAGAATATGTGAAGGGAATGAAAGACCACCATGGGTTATTACGAGGGCCCAAGAGAGTGATAGGACTCATAAAGCCCATTTACATATGAATGACAATGGCTGGCCTGACCCATTTCACCTTTACATTCTTCAACAGCACTAATCTCCTTTAATACCTCTATCCGCACTAGTTTCCATTCACGGCACCATGTTGAGCTAATAACGAAAGTCCTCATATTTGTCGGTATTCAACATTTTTGTAGACAAATCTACCATTTGGTCATTTGTCCATTTTTCATGACTTTCTATCTAATAAAATAGTAGTGCACCGCTATATGCTTTGTTCTAGCATGAAACATTGTATTTTCTAAAATGCGGAACCGCAAACTATTTGTCGCAATGAAGTGGTATCAGATAGTCAAATTTTTTGGTGTAAATCCTCCATTAAGAGTTTCAACCACATATTTTCTTGAGTTGCTCTAGTCGCTGCTCTGTACTCTGCTTTTATCGTTGACAATGATACTATTGGTTGTCTTTTGTGGCACCAAAAAATTGCTCCTAAACAAAGCTTGAACACATACCCAATGGTTGATCTTCGAGTATCGTGACCTTTGCATAATCAACATTATAGTATCCAACTACCTTGTAGTCTTTGCTTCTTTTGTACAAAAGACAATAGTTGATTGTACCTTTGACATATTTCAAGGTCCGTTGAGTCGAATTCAAATGAGACTTCTTCTTTGCATGTACTGACTCATGACTCTAATTTCATTTTCAAATCTCTTTGGTTTGTTCATGTAGATCTTCTGGTCCAACTTTCTATCTAAGAGAGCATTCTTCACATCTATCTGTCATAATTTTCAATTTTTACTAGCAGCAAATGCTAAAGGACCCGCATGGTAGTGATCTTTGCCGCTGGACTAAGTATTTCATCATATACTAGTTCACATTGTTAAAAGAATCATCGAACTACAAGTCAAGCCTTGCATCTCTCAATTGATCCATCCGAATGATGCTTTACTTTGTTAAACTCACTTGTAAAAGATGCGTTTGACATCTCCTAGTTTTGGCACTAGTTCCTAGATTTGATTTTGATCATCTCCTAGTTTTGGCACTAGTTTTTAGATTTGATTTTGCTCTAAAACTAATTTTTTCCTCCATCGTCTTTTGCAAAGGTGAGCATTGTGGTGCTTCTTCGTACATCTCTAACTCTTTAACTCTATCTTCTATAATAGCAACTTTGACATACTTTGGATTTAGCTTTAGGATTTTTTATAACCGTGTAAGTTGTTGAGATGTTGTTTACTATTTACCGAGTTTGCATGGTTAAGTCATTTATTACTCACCAACATCGGGGTCACTTGAATTTTCAGCCGCATCAACACTTGACCAAATGTGTTCAGTTTGATCTCCCATCTTATATGGTAGAATGTCTTCAATATTGTTTGAATCTTGTAACACACATGGTTTAAGCATCCT